GCAGTATATTCTAATGACTGCTTGAAGTCAAACCTCAAATCTTATATACTAAATTAATCAATATATGATGTTGGGACAATGGACTATAATTATTTAAATGTGCTTGCATCCATACAAATGGATACAAAAATATACACACACAGTACCCACACGTAGTTACCATACGGAGTATATAAACTGTGTGACTTTTGTGGTTTTTATGCATTATAAAATTCAACATCAAAGTAAGCAAAAATAAAAATTGTGACTCTCTTATGAATCTAGCTAGGATGTTGGAAATGGTAACACTCATAGGCCTTAGCATGTGAAACAACTAAGCTCATTGGTGTTTATCAATAATAATTTCACTAAAACCACCCCTAATAATTATCTTTAAGGTAAAAGAGGGATGTATCTCTTAATTGAAATAAAAAAAACTCACATTTTTTATTTCAATCAATGAAATTATTTTATATCTATTTGTCTCAAATTAGATTACAATTCTGGACCACAAGGGAAAATCCTGTATATTTTTAAAATTATTGTATTCCAAAATAACACAAATTCAAAGTAAAATGTGAAAGAAAAAAAATTGAAAAGAACTATGAAAGAAAAAAATTGTCAAAAACAAAAATTGGAAAAATATGTAACTAAAGCCTACTAATTAGAATATAAAAATTGAAATAAAATGAAACAAATAATAAATACTCCCTCTGTCTCATAAAGATAGGGACGGTTTGACTAAAGTAGTAAAATGAGGGATAATTATGTGTTAACTTTCCAATAATACCCTTGATGTAATGAGTAAAAGTAGGATAAGATGTGTCGATTATTAGGAAAAAAGTATGATATGATAGGTATGGTATGAAAAAACAAGGGGTAAAAGTGGGTTCTTAATAGAAATGAGAAGGACTTTTAGGGACACGATTTTTTTGAAACGTGAAGGATTTTGTGAGATGGAGGGAGTATGAAACAAAGAAATCTTAAACCGAGTAAGAAGCTAGGTTTGATAGATAGATTACAAGAGGAGAAATCCATGATAAAGAGGGTGTTTGGCAGTTCGCTGCTTTTAATAATTTAGCTTCTGCTTTGAGTGAAAGTGGTTTTACTCTGTTTGGCATGTTAGGTTCTGCTTTTTGCCACCACTATTTTGTACATAGAACATCGTTTCAGAGAAGCAGGTATGAAGTGTTTTGCTTTCAGCTTTTGTGGAAATCACTTTATCCACAAGTTAATCACTTCCAAACAAAGAATAAGATAATAGAGGGGGAGGAGGAATCGAACAGCTGAAGCACCAAGAGGAAAGATTGTTCGTGAATAGGATGACAATTCAACCCGAATCCGATCTTAATTGACCCAACCGACCACTAAAATATCCAAATCCAAACTGAGAATAAAATAATCCGAACCCGACCCGAAATTTTTTACCCAAACCTGACATTGGGTCGGGTGTGGGTTTATAATTTTACCCGATCCGTACCCGCACCCAACCCGACTCAAAGCTAAATATTTTATAAGATAAAAGCCTATCTGTGGATATAATGAGTACTCCGTATAATCTTCTGACAAGGTGATAATATATCAAGTATGCCTTTTATAATTATTTTTATAATTTCTAAATAAAAATATGAGACACAAAAAAAGAGACACAAAAAAATTAGATTTAATCTTTTTAAAATTATTAGGGTATGTCGAATTGATTATTGATTAAATTACGGATTTGGGTTCGGGTTTAAATGTCGGGTTCGGGCCGGGTCAGGTTTTTGGCTTAAAAAGTGGGGTTTCAAGTCGGGTTCGAGTTTTGTTTTAAAAGTCGGGTCGGGTTCGGCTGACCCAAACCTGATACGTTGTCATCCCCCCTATTCGTGAATCAAAAAATACTGAAATACTCAAGCGCCAAGGACTATGTTCATGAATGAGCCAATATGCTTGAAAAGCTATGAAAAAATTAGCTATATAGCATTAAAACATTAAAAGTTTTCAAATTATAGTAGGGTGGGGTTCCCACCAATGTCATGGGATGACCCGGGTCGCTCCGGTGCTCCGTTCGAAAAATTGACGGTTCCTACCCCCCCTAACTCCCCCGGTAAACCCTCCCACCCCGCCCCGACCCGAACACACCTCCCTACCCTCGTCAATTGCACTCCTCAAATTGATTTTGAATGTAGTACCAATGTTCAATGTTCACTAGACATTATATTATTTAAGTCAATGTCCACCGCCACTGGACATTGTTCGAAGTAAATACCCAACGCCACTGAAAATTTTTTAAATACTATTTGGAGAAAAAAGTTTTAGGTAATATATTTGTAAAAGACATGGGTTTTAATGCTATTTAGTACAAATGTCACAAAATCTAGTATGCTTGTATAATAAAATGAATTTACTTTTGAATTTAAAATACGGAGCATTAAAAAATGGGCACCTAAATTCGGTCACCATGTTCAAACGAACCCTCTTGCACAAGCAGTTAGGCGTGTCTTGAGGTGATGAAAGTCCTAATGTTAAGATGGAGGTTCCATCTAGAGAAACCGAGACTATCCATCACCTAGAAGAATGTCTCGCATATGTTTTCTATGCCTCAATGAAGATATATGTGCTCCAAAAGGGGTGATATAGGGATTCTAGGCTTTTAGTGGAGCCATTTGACACTGTATGCTAGTATCATCTATTTGTTTTTGGCTTCTATCAAGAGCCATATAGGCTCCAAGTATAGTTTGCTTCTATTTGTGTTGGAAAATGCTAGGGTACACCAAAGATGTACCCCATTTGTCCCACACCCCCTCCATTACCACAAAAATAGGCAAGAAATTAAAAAAAAAATTAAATAAATAAAAATGGGATTAAAATGAGTGGTAGAGAAAGTGCTGGGGGACAAATGGGGTACACCTTTGGTGTACCCCTAGCATGGCTCATTTGTGTTTCATCTTGAGGTAAGTGTGTCCAAGCATGGAAAAATGTGTTTGGTGTGTTGTGACACTAGCTTCTTTGTTCAAGTGAAACAATCTATTTATGATTCTGTTTTAATGACACTTTGTGTCTGTCATAGGATTTTTTGTACCTTAAGGTACATTTGGTACAATTTTTGCTTGTGTTAAGACTTCTTATATTGTGAGGTACGTATGGTTACTTCTTGGAGAAAATCTTGTATCTTTTCACATCTGATTCTAGTGCATTTACTATCTTTTAAGAGGATTCAAGTCTTGGTGGACTTTTGCTGGAAAAATACCATGAATCTGTTTTTTGAGCCTAATGGGAATATGATTAGGCTTATCCCTCTTATACCCAAAGATATACTAGGTACAAACCTCTATTTTTAAGAGAATAACAAATTTGTTATTAGAAGTTTACTAGGTACAAACCTCTATTTATTTGAGATTTTTTTGTCCTTTAAGAGTTGCTTCTCTTTTAAATTAAAGGAAGACATAGAAGATGTTATAGCGCACTATGACAGGATTAACAAGGCATGTGCGGAATTTGAAGCTGCAATATGTAATATTTGGAATTAAAGACCTATTGAAATTACAAATACTTACTCTGATTGGATAATATCCATCTAGTATTTAGTGACTTTAATTTATCTAACTCGTGGATTTAGATTAAAGAAGTTATATTCAAGAGAACTTCTAATTGCATATTCCTACTAAGTTTAGGGTTCGAAGAGGCCTATATATGCATGGTAGATCATTGGGATTTCTTGGAGCGATTGTGAGGGAAAAAATTACAAATACATGCTGATCGAAGAACATTCTCTTCGTGTCCTGAAGCCATCCTTACATAAAGAACTAATGTTCCATATGAAGAAGAAGGTCTTCAACATCAAAGAGATCGTGACATATTGAAGTTGAACGCGAGTTGAATTGTGGGCTGCCAACCATATTTGTCTTTATGATCTCGGTGGATATGTGATTGCCAAAATAGATCTGTATAGGGTACGAGTTAGAAATTTTAGATTAAAGATTTTGTCATGACAATTTGAAGAAGTGTGTCTCACCATGCTATTATGTACCTATGTAATCTGCATCTGATGATTTAATGGAGGATATTACACAAACGTGGGCCACACATATGTTGATAGTTTCTCCTAACTGCGTAAACATATATATTAGGTGTCGTTCTTTATGCTTTTTGTATTTTCATTATTCTGCCCAATATGTATCGTAACATACTCTTCGTCATCCTCTTGTGTGTGTGAATTTTCAATGCATAATTCTGAGTTTTCATAAATGATAGAGTTTGAATATATCTCGAACTTAGAAGGTCTCAATCTAGGGGTTTAATATCCTTAAAGCATTGAGGGCATGTTTGGGAATATCGTTAGCGATTAGCGTAGCGTTTTGAAAAGGCTATCTACAGGCAGCATTTAGCGTTAGCGTTTTCAAAGAAATTTGCTCCGTTAAAATTTTATCCAAAACGCTAAGACTAATCTCTAACGCTATTCCCAAACAGGCCCTGACTCTTGGCTTCAACCATCGTGGTACACTCGTCGCTGACCTACCTCATTATATTATTGCTCACTTCTATCTGCTACTACTATACAACAATCACTTCTAGTCTGATCTTAGAACACATACTGTTCCTTCCAAAATTTAAAATTGATCATATGATCAAAGAGATTTGTAGAGTAATGATCCAATAAGGTGGGTTTGGGGATGTAGCTCGACACACATTTATATGATGTTGATCCTTTGTAGGATAAAGTAGCTACTAGCTAGTCATCTACAATACGAGTCTCGAGGTCATCTACACAAATATAAAAAAAAGTCATATGTTAATCAAAAGGCGACCTCATGAATCTTTGGAGTGTGCAAAGCTAGTAGAAAAAAGCTGGCATTATGGCTCCTTAAGTCAACAACATGTCAAACTAAAAATCCTCACTCCTCCCAATCTTACTACCATCATTAATTTATTCATGAAATTAAGTGGCACTGATCCCAGTAATTATAATAATAATAATAATAATTACAATTATAATAATCAAATACCCATCTTGGAATCTGAAATAATGACACCACATGAAAAAAAACCACATTATTTTTTTAAAAAAAATTATAACAATTTCAAGCTGCCCTTCAAACTGTAGCATTGGCCCTATGTAGTCACAGGCTCACAGTGGTCCAACAAAAACAAAAAACAAAACACAAAGATTTTTTTTTTTAAAAAAAAAGTATCATGGGAAGAAAAAAGGAAAAAAAAAAGTTTAATTTCTACATGCGGTAAGTAATACGATGGAGCTTGGAAAGCCTGCCTGCCTTGTGATTGCAATGTCGCTTTTTGTCCAGTCTTTTCTAACATCCAGTGGGCCCCCCCCACCCCCACCCCACACACCCACCTGCTGCTTCCCTCTGACATTTCATCACAAGATCTTGAAAGCTATGTTCAATTGACTCCCCAGTCCTCCCCTTCAAAGTTCATTCAAATTCCATCCCCATTGTGTTTCCACCAAACTTTTCTTCAATGAAATAGGACTCAATTGCATGGCATTGGCAACACGATCGACCGCAGTGTTCTCGATCGGTCTCCCCGTGTTGTTTGGACCGACACTTTGATGGTTTCGATCTGGAGAAGTAAACGAGGAGTGGGTGTAGCCAAATAGGTAGGAATTGTGTGTTGTTGTTAGCTAGGTGTGGGGAGAGTAATCACTTAAGGGCATTGTGGGAGGGGAGGAAAACTTGGGTAGGTCATGGGTTTGGAAAAAGGGTCTACTCTCATGGCCCCCAACACCAAGAAAATCCCTAGTCAAACTCCCTTCAACAGCTACTTCACTATTACTCCCACTAGGCATTGTGTGGTTGTTGAGGTGTTTGCCCTTGTTACCACCTTGCAAAGGGTCATGTGGGGAGGAAGAGTTTTCCACATTGGCCACCATGGGAATTGGTGAAGAGCTTATGTCCCCCAATAGCAAACCATGGTGATCGTTCCCGCGGTTGTCGTCGATGGGAACGGTCATTGACGACGCGTTCATGTGGTGGCTCTGGTGGTGGTGGTGGTGGTCATGTTGTTGTTGGTGATGTTTCCCGAGATTGTGGTGATTATGTTGAGGATGATGATGATGGACTTCATTTCTTGAATTGAAATTGTCTAGGACGGAAATGGTGGACCCCACGAACCCGAACTCGTTGCTACCGAACAACTGGGAGTTGTTGTTGTTGTTGTTGTGGTTGCTGTTGCGGGTCGATCCCATTTGGGCTGCTTTTTGGAGGAGTGCGGTGGCAGACATGTGAGCTGGGGGCGGGGGTGGCCCCGCCGCCGCTTCGTGGAGGTGGTTGTAGAACATTGAACTTATCTTGCTCTCGTCTTCCTCTTTCAAGACCGGAGGCAGGGAAGAGGAAGACGTGCTACCGCTCCCGCCGTGGAACCAGTGGCTCGGCGGGGACAACCCCAGCATGTTCGCCCCCGGCGCCGCCATGTGAAGGAGCTCGTGGGCGAACCCACCACCACCTCCGCCGCCGCTAGAAGATCCCAAGAACTCCGTCGCCACATTCCCAAGATGGTGATGGCCATGGTGATGATGAGAATTCGCCGTGGGGTCCAACCAAAGGGGCAGCCTCGGCTTCTGCCCGTCGAGGCCAAGCTGGTGATGCTGACTCCCGGCGGCGTCCACTCCCACCATGAGGTCGTTTTGATGCCGGAAAACATGAGATCCGAACTGGTGCGGCGGCGGCGGCGCCGTATTCCCGAGCAAGTCGTTCCGGAAGTTGAGATTCGGAACCGAAGTGAATCTCGCACTCTCTTCCGCCAACGCATCGCAAAATGCTCTGTGCGTTATAAAGCTGTCTTTTCTGTTCCACCCAGAAAAGAGAGAAAAAAAAAGTAATGAAACAAAAAGATCAGATTTTTACAATTTGTTTCGTTGGAGCATTAATGATTTTTCAAAGCAATTCAATTGAATTCAATTCCAGCAATAAATAGGCCAAAAAGGGGGGAATCATTAGCAATAAAGATTGAATTAATTAAAAGAACAAATGAATATATGTACCTGGAGAAGAGAGTTCCACAGTCACATTTATACTCTCTAGTCCCACAAATCTTACTATGAGCTTTCCAATCGGACTGGACGGCATACTTCTTGGAGCATTTCTCGCACTTCCATTTCTTCTCGCCGTGCTTGCGGCTGAAGTGTTTCTTGATCCCGGTGAGGTCGCCGAGGGCGCGGGACGGGTCGTGGTGGACGCAGCTCTTCTCCGGGCAGATGTACACCTTCTTCTTCACAACCTCCTTGCTGTTCCTCTGCTTCAGCTTCCACGGGAGATTGTGCCCTCTCCTGTGGAGCTGAAGGTTCTGGTCCCTCTGGAACCCCTTGTTGCAGATTTCGCAGACGAACCGGTTCGTCGCCATCAGCGACTTGGGGGACAGGGCTATCACCTCCGCGTCCGGATCTGGGTTCCCGGGCAGGTTCCGCTTCCTCTTGTTCGGGTTCGGGTTTATCGGATCTTGCGGGGCGGTGCTGCTGCCGCTGCTGTGGATGAAGGCTCTCATGGATGATAGAGCATCATTGGAGGATGACATCATGGTGGGAGAAACAAGAAGATGAAGGAAGAAGAGAACAAGGAAAGAAATTGAAGGGTTTTTGAGTGCTTGGCTGAAAACAGCAAAAGCAGGAAGATGAAATCAGAGTGTTATTTTGTGTGGGTGGGGGGGAGTGGAAGAGAGAAGATGAGGCCAAAGTAACAACAAAAAAGAAGAACAAGAAGATGATAAAAGGAAATGGTGTTACATGGGTATGACACCATGTATAATCATTATCATTTTCACCTTATTAGCTTCTTGGAATTCTTCCTTCTTTGGTTTTGTGTGTTTTCTTGAATAATGGAAGGAAAAAAGCCTTATTATTAGCTTGGGAATGAGCAAAAACAAAGACTGCACAAGAAAACTACAACAATGGCAGCAGCTACCTAGAAAGAAAGAGAAATAATATACTCCCACTGTAATTTCTCTCTCTCTCTCTATCTCTCTCTCTATGACTATATTCCTTATCTTATACGGCTTTTCTCTCTCAAGTCGGTCTGCCATAGACTCAAGTGGACCACCCTCCCCCCTCCCTCTCTCTTCTACAGACTACACAAAAAATGGATTCATTTTTGGGGCATAGCCTAATTGGTCAAAGAGAAGTAACGTTCGAGTTCGATTTTAGATGTAAACAACGAAAGACAACCATATGCAGGCTCTGTTTTTTTTCAGTTGAAAAAAATCAACTTCTAATTTTTCTATTTTATTTCAACTCTTTCTAGTTTCTTTCAAGTTTTCAAGATTCTTCAATAAGAACTTGAAAAATGTATTTACATATGATTACTACAAAATAACATAATATATACAAAATTCTAACATAACATCTCAAACATATTGGACAAAGATAAATTCTTTTTTATATCCAAAATTAGTTTTCTTACATATTTATTTAGGTGATATATCTATCATTTAATCGAATAATTTTTTTAACACTTACTTTTTTTCAACATTGTCCAACTCCTTCGAATTTTTTTCCATCTTCTTTCAATTTCTTCCAAATCATTTCAATTTCTTCAACTTCTTCCAATTTTTTCGAACATCCAAGTTTAGAGTTCAAACCGAAAAGAACAAAGTCGCAGTCTATGGTCCTTGCACACTTGGAGGGTACAAATATTGTTTCTTTCATGATGACTAATGGGGAGCAGATCAGCTCCGCCCCAACTTTTACCACATCAGCATTTCACTCACTTTTTGCTCCGCCCCAAAATCATACAATGTTATCGCCCCGAAAACCCGCATCTTCGTTTCTTTTACAATATTCGTCATTTTTAATTCAAACTTATATAAATTTTATAAATATATTTATTTGTTACTAAAAATAGATAAATAATACTCCATCCGTTCTCAAAAACACTTCCTCTTTCATTTTTTCCACTTCCAACAAAACACTTCCCTTTTCTATTAAAAAAACACTTTTACCCTTACTTTTTCATACCCTACCTATCACATCATATTTTTTCTCTAATAATCTATCCATCACATCTTACTTTTACCCGTCACATCAGGGGCAAAATTGAAAATCAATTATAATTTAACACTTCCTTATTTTTGCCACAAATCCAAATGGGAAGTGTTTTTCCAAACGGGGGGAGTAATATATAAAATAAAATAAATACTTTCAAAATTAACAAAAATAGATGAGAAGATTCGCATTAATTAAATAATAAATAGTGAAATTTAAAAAATAAAATTAAAATAAAAAGGTCAAAATTGAATACATTAAGGAAAAAGGGTTTAGAATTAAAATAATTAAATTAAAAAAAACTGATCATCAGTGGCAAGGAAGGAAGAAGAAGTGGAGCAAAGCACAAAGGGGAGGGGGTGGTCGACCACAGCCGCCGCAATTTTGGGCCGGAAATACACCCCGACTCTGCGTCGGAACTGGGGCGCGCACCGCGGTAAAAAATGCGGCTCTCCTCCTGCAATCGGAGTGTGAGGCGGCGGACTTTCGAGAAGCGAACGACGGGACGGGATTCAATCCCCATTGTAAATGCCCTAAAGTTTTTTTTAATACCCAAACCGAAAAATACTGCAAATACCAAATCCAATATTTCGTTCGGTATTTGGGAACAATATGAGTTTACTTCCCATACCAAAAATTCCAAACCAAATATATATAGTAATATATTATAAATATAATTATCTTTTCATATTTTTTCGTTAAATAATAAGTTTATTTTTAAAATTTGGTTCATATTTTATTATGTGTAGATTGTACTTTTATTTGATCGAATTTCCAGTTTTTATAGATAAATTTAAAAATATTAACATACATTTGAAATATCATTTTGTTATCATCCGTTCATTTTAATTTGTGAATTATAAACTAAGTTTCATAAATATTTCTTGCATTTAATTCTTTATTTTTTATTTTTTATGTTTCTTTACTTAAATATACTTTTGGGCTTTCAAAAATAAATAGTTTTGTGACATTTTAAATTTTAAATTAGGTGTGTATGTATTCACCCCGATTTGTACCGAAACATATCTCGCACCACCCCGAACTGAAACTTCTAGATTGAGATCAGTACGACGTAAAATTTTATAGTGAAATATTTGGTACGATATTAGTACGAGCTAAATGCTGTATCATACTCAACCCAAAATTAAAATTTAATTGTGACTTATGTCCTACTAATCCTTGAAACCCTAGCATACATTTAAACCTTTAAAAAACTTTACTTCTTCTATATGATGTTTATTGTGATTCAACTCTAATATCTTATTATAATCACGTTTTATGATTTCTATTAATCTTAAATTCTATCATGCTCTATCTTCGAGTATTCTGTGAAGTTGCTCAATTTTTTTTATATTTAAGGGTCCATTTTAGAACCAATTTCATGTGTTTGGTAAATGGTAACTTAGGAAATGGAAGTCAACGAAAATCAAGAAGTCGGACAATGGAAATTGAATGTTAAAATTCGGAAATTGTCTTTTTTCCCATTTGAAATTCACAAGACATCTTCCTTTCCCAAGATTTTCTTTCCAGACATTATTCACAGAATTAAACTTAATTCATTTTTATGTTTAACTTTATTATTCATTTTATAAAATGATATAGTCTTGTCATTACTTGTTTTGTTTAATTTTCATGTAGTTGTTTACTTAAAATCAAATAATTAAACTATATAGAAAATAAAATTAATTAAGCTACGTAACGCGTAATGAAAAGACAAGTGAGGGACTGAGGGAGAGTATATTTTCTATTATAAGTATATTGTTAGCTTCTTGTGTATGTAAGCATATGGTTGTTGCAATAAATTACCCTCACACGTATAATAATTTAATTGAAATGGTTCTTGGATGCCGAAATGGTTGTGGCCCAGTCGGTGTAGTTTTATATCGGTTTTGCCCTTCCGCGAGTCACTCAATTATGCTCCGCTCTTATTTTGATGCATTTTTTATATTTTATTTTTATTCAGAATAATTTTTTCATTTGGATTTTAAGAAAATTAGGAAAAATTGTTTTAATGGTAAAATATATGGAATTCTTCAAAGGAAAGAGTAATATTGCAATCGGGTTGAGAACTGTATGTTAATGACCCAGTATCATCGAGTTCGGGTTGACCCAATAACGGGTTATGACTTTGATTTTTTAATTTTTAAAATTCACATTAATAGTTACTTTTTGTATTAAATAAATTTAAAATATCAAAAAATATGCATTAAATCTATTAGGTTGTTTTATTTTAAATTCTGAAGTGATTTTTTAAATGTACAAATCGATATAAGAAATTTAAAAATGCTTATGTTTTAGAAAAAAGTAAGATAATTATGAAATATCATTAAAATTTTGTTTGGAAATATAAATTTATACACTAGAAACGAGTAGTAAAGTGTATGATTTTGAAAAACTCTTACTTTAGCGGGTCGGTCAGGTTGGGTTTGGGTTCGGTCGGGTTTGACCCTTTTTTGGTGGGTCATTTCGCGTTTGGAAACTTTGGATTCGGTCATCAAAATCTTTGTTCAAAACTAGTGTTTTGAGGTTGGATTTTTGGTCAAAAACAGGTCGGGTCAGTATTTGTCAGGTCTAGGAATATCTTTCTTTCATAAAAAAGAAAATGGAAAGTGTATTTTGGAATAGAAGTCAGAAGAAAGAGAATTAATTTCATTAACAAGGAAAATTTACACACATTTATAACTCATGGTGTCGACCATCGACAATCCAAAGGATGTGCAAGGTGCCCACTCGCACAGGAACCCCGTGAATTTCACCCATGGTCAATTTATATTCTTACATTTTCGGACCGGCCCCGGTGCCAACTGTGGACACACTGTAGGGGTAGGGATGTTCTTAAACGAATTCCATTCTCCCCAAACCTTAACTTGTTTGTATTTTTCTTATTTGCATTTTAGTGTTTGGATTAAATGTCTCAATGTTACCTCAGTCTGCACAATTTAACCTCTCACACGGTCACACACCTTATCTCTTTTGGGATAGCCTACCCTAACTCCCAAGTCCTAACCTACCCATCATTTCCCAACCTATATCTCACACTTTCTCACTCTAAATATTTCGAAAAATAATTCCAATTTTATTTTTTTATAAATAAAAGGTGTATATTTTGTTGTTGAATTCATAATTTTGCCTTTGGATGTATTGATTGATAGAATTTAGGATGAGGTATGAATCATTGGATTGAGTAATAAGACAGTTGTGCTGAACCACATTAAAAGATTAAATCAAATCGATTAGTTAGTTCAACTCAAGAGCTTATATACCGATTATTTTGTTCTTGAACTTCCGATGTGGGATGGCACTCTAACACTCTCCCTCAAGTGGACAATCGGGCCATTTTGAATCTAACCGGTTGACCACTTGCAAATGAACTCTCATTCCCTTGACTTTTTTTTTGAGCGCCAACACCTAAAGGATCACGAGCCACTGGGTATGGATTTCCAGACGAGCAATCGTGTTAAACGGGCCACAGGTTGTTGGGTACATATTCCATACGGACAACTGGGCTAAACACTAACGGGCCGCTAAGAATGAATGTCTAGACGGATACCTTGACAAACGAGGTGGATCAAAACCTGCTTTGATACCATGATAGAATTTAGGATGAGGTATGAATTATTGGATTGGGTAATAAGACACTTGGGCAGAACCACATTAAAAGATTGAATCCAATCAATTAGTTAGTTCAACTCAAGAGCTTATATACTGATTATTTTGCTCTTGAACTTGCGATGTGGGATGACACTCTAACATTGATGGATAAAAGAAATAATGAATAAATGTGATGCGATAGATTAAATAAAAATTGATAGGAGATAATAAATAGACTTTTTAATGAAAAGTTGAAATGTTTTATGAGACCAATAAAAATGAAAGTGTAATTTCTTTCTGAAATGGAAAGGGTATTTTCTTA